AATTGAGGCAATGGGAGTGGAGAAGAGACAAAGTTTGGGCCTCTTTTTTTAAAAAAACAAATTTATTGAGAGATTCATTTACCATAAAATGCCCACATAAATAGTGCACAATAGTACAACAGCTTATAGTTTGGGTCAAGACTGTGAAACCTTCACCACAGTTTTAGAACATTTTCATTGCCTTAAGAATAAACTCCAAAACGCTGGCAATTTCCAGATTCCACAACATAATCTTTGATGTTTATGCTAAATCATACATTCCTAGAACTTGAAGATTCCAGTTATTTTTATTTTATTAATGAACTTTAGAATTTATTCATATCTAGCTATTTGTTTTAATGTTTCTATAGCTACTTAGATATAAACTTATTTTATTTCTTTACATCCTGCATAATTATATTTAAAACAAGCAATAATTACTAAAAATAAAAAATAGAAAATGAGTAAAAGATAGCAATGACTATGATGATCCCAGGTACTTTATGTTTTTCATTCTTGCATTGTTTTTTAACAAAAGTATTGCAAAAAGGAAGAGAAGGGAGGGAACTATATAAGTAAATGTGGCATTTGGAAATAAGATAACTTGCTTTTACTTCCAGAGGACATGCAGTTTATGAAAGTCCTTAGGTTGTATTCCATCATATAGTGTAAAGAGGAACTGGTGACACTAGTAAATACAGCTCTACACCAAGGAGAAAAAACAGAGCCTGACAAACAATGTGACACCAGACGATTCCATACAGTGTTGCTGCAAAGATAATGACATTCCCTACCCTTCGAGAACTCTTCCTGTCTTTTTATTTCTTATTTGTCAAATCCTGGGTTTAATAAAAGCTGAAGTATTAAATATGCATTCTGGTGGTTATTTCCTTTTAGTTACATTGGTAATTTGATGAATTAGATGTTCTTCATGAAAAAATAAATGTTTAGCACTTCTAAAACTATTGCCTCATTTTAGAAATTCATTTGCAAAATTATGTTAAAATTATTTCAAAGACTCGAACTTGTGTCACTGATATGAACCTATTTTAAGGTTCAATTTAAGAAACATTTTAAGGTCAGAGTCTCCAAATACCTGTTTAGAATGTGCATGTGCTCTACCTCCAGATGATGATCAAATACTGTTGCATGAATGTGTGAACCTGTGAGGGTGTATGTCTAGTACAGTCTATGCTTAATATGCTGTAACTCACCTTCTGAAATCATTTTTACTATATACAGGTAGCACATCAAGAGGCTTCTGATTTCATACTGATCCAGGCGGTTATACTGGGATACACTAGTCCTTGTAGAACTCTGTCGGGTCTAAAATGTAAGGACAGGATGTTTGTGAAATAGTGTTAGTACCACAATTTTCCACAGCCTTTAACTCAGTAGCTCATTTTTTTAAAATCATTAGATCTGTTTGGGAAAATTCTAAACATAAATCTAAATTTTATATCACACTTGGAAGGTGAATGAGCTGAATCTTTCTTATCTAGTAATAACTAGTATTATCACTAGAAATTACCTTGGGGCCTTCACAAAGATATATCCATGAATACTGTGTATGTTTCATTCTCATATCTCATGTGTTTTAGTGGAAAAATATTAAAACAATCATGGCTATTAAAGGAAAGATAGCTTTTACATGGAGTGAAAGCATAAGAAACACCTTCAACTTTTTCATTTGAATCTCTCCTTAGAGTTTATTAAAATCCAACCTCCAAATCATACATTAGAAAAATCTATCTTAAGGGCTAATAAGGGCCAGGTGTAGTAGTCCACACCTGTAAACCCAGCACTTTGGGAAGCTGAGGTGGGAGGATCACTTGAGGCCAGGAGTTTAAGACCAGTCTGGACAACACATCAACACCTATCTCCACACACACAAAAAAAATTCGCTGGGTGTGGTAGTATATGCCTGTAGTCCCAGCTACTCAAGAGGCTGAGGCAGAGAGATTGCTTGAGCCCGGGAGTTGAAGGCTCCAGTGAGCACTGATCATGTCACTGCACTCCAGCCTGGGTGACAGTGCAAGACCCTATCTCTAAAAAATATAAATAGATAAATAAAACGGGCTAATTATATTATGACAATTAGGAGGACCCAGTAGTACTTCAAATTTTGTTAAAAGTATTAGAAATTAAGCATGACAAGATCTGACTTATTTGGGGATTTTTATGAATAGAATAACAATAAAAATTTTTGGTTATTAAAAACTAATACTTTGAGTTGAGCTAAATTGGGGACGCACATTGACTAAGGTATGATTTACTAAGAAAGAACTTTCACTTGGAGCAAACAGACCTAGGTTCTGATTGCTTGCTTAGCTACTATGTAACTACTAGCAAGTTATTTAACCTCTCTGACCTTCATTTGCCTCAGCTGTGACAGTATCTGTTGTCACAATTTCTAAATGGTGTGAAAGAGAAACATTTGTGGATAAATTACTGCTTACTCAAAGGCTTAGGGAACCAGTGGAAGTACAGTCCACTGGTTCTCAAGGGTAATGCCCAACTAGTAGCATCAACATCACCTGGGAACTTAGAAATACATATTAGCAGGCCCTATTCCAGACTTGTTGAATCTCACCCTGGGGTAAGGCCAGACATCTATTTTTTTAAGCCCTCCAGGTGATCCTAATGCACACTAAGAGCACCATGATATAGGAAAAAAAGTGCTAGTATTAGAAAATCTGGGTTTGAGTATGGCCCTGCCATAGCTGGTTGTTCTAAGTCATGATCCCAGTTTTCATTTGTAAATTGAGAGTTGGAATTTATGATTCTTAAGGACCCTTCTAATATAATTATATACAATTCTTTCATTTTACATAACAACATGGCAAAACTTTACTGGTCTAAATTGAGGTCTCTCTGCCTTAAGGCAGTCGCACCTTAAATTTTCATGGTGGGCGTGAAACAACTTGATAGAAAAGTTGTGAGGATATATTCTGATTAAGTGATGGTGGGACCCTAAGATTGTCGGTTTTGGGACCTCTATTTTTTCCTCCCAAATTAATACCATTACTTTATTACAAAAGAATGAAAGACTGCATTAATCCTGCCAGGATATGCTTTGTTTTAAATAACAAGGCACATTAGATATTTTAAACTTGAACTTCCCCTCTCTAGAATAGCGTGCTAGGATTAAAGGAGATACTCAGAACATTTGAGGATGAATGCCTTATTCTCTATAAATAGTTTAAGACATTGAAGTAGCAGCTGCCAGGATAAGAAGATACAGCTAAAATATCTAAGAATTATGGGATGCTTTTTGCAGATCTAGGATGGACTACAGGAGAGTAGAGAACCCCATATTTATACTATAAAAAAACTGTTGCAGCCTAACTTGTCACTAGGGTCATCCTATATATTTAAGTTCTTACATTTTCACCAGTGCTGCCTTGATCTGGAAATCCTGTTGCTCCTTCTGGGACAAGGGAGCCTCTTGAATCTTCTCTCTTAATTCCATGTCCATTTTGAAAAGACCCATAAGCTGGAAAAAAAAGTCAAGTCCTTGTTGGTGAGAGGAGGAACTGTTAGAAATATTTAAAAAGTAAGTACTGGACTAATTTAAGTAGAGATGTTAATATAGCAAATAGATCGTGGACATCTAAAGTGTGAAGTTTATTATATCAAAACACCATAAGAAACCAAGTAAAAGTGAAGCAACTTTTCACCTTTCAAAATACTTTAGCATGTATAAAACAACAAGAAATTCCTTGGAAATCGTAAAATAAAGCTACACAAGTTAAGAGACAATTTTATAGATAAGGAAACTTGAGCCCAGAGAAGGGAAATATCTGGCTTAAAATTGGTGACAGATGAGAAGAATGGAAACCAATATTTTTCTCATTATCCTCTATTTTTTCAGTATGCCAAGCTATGTTCTAAATAAGCTTAGACAAGGAAACTTAAGCAAATAAATTTAGTTGCAAATGTGAGTCAGATTTTAATTAAACTTTAGTAGAGATCAAGCTATGTATGGTCTTTATTATGAAATATATCAAAAATACTGAGAAGTAGAGGGTACATTTCTAAACACCCATGCAATATATCATGTGCAAAGGGCTTAATTACCAGTGTCTTTATCAGTGCTCAGACTCCCTCTATTGGCAGGTGAAGTAAAGCCACATGGAAACTCATCTCTGGATGCCTGTAACAGAATATGATACCTGGGTCATTTAAACAAATTTGTATATAGGATAAGAAACCTGAATTAACAGAATAAAATGTTACAGTGATTTTAAACAAAGCTCACTGTGAAAGTCTAAATCAGATACCAGTAATTAGTATTTAGGTGACTCTTTTAGAAAAAAAAAAAAGGCTATTAGCATACTGTTACAACCATGACCTCTAGCTAAGTGACATAATTCTAGATGGCTGCAATTGGTACAGTCTTTTTTGTTTTTATCTTTTGAGACAGGGTCTTGCTGTGTAGCCCAGGCTGGAGTGCAGTGGCATGATCATAGCTCACTGCAGCCTCAACCTCTTAGGCTCAAGTAACCCTCTCACCTCAGCCTCCAGAGTATGTAGGACTGCAGGTACGTCCCACCACATCCAGCTAATTTTTGCATTTTTTTAAGAGATGAGATTTTGCTATGTTGTCTAGGCTGGACTCAAATTCCTGGGCTAAGTGATTCTCCTGCCTCAGCCTCCCAAAGTGCTGGGATTACAGGTGTGCACCACAGCACCTGGCCTGGTAAAGTCTTAACATGGTTCAGTTCTCCTTAGAACCAGGGCAATGCTAGAAGAAGGTGTGTGACCAGAACCCCTAGGTAAACTTGAGCTGCAAAGAGAACAGAGAAGTGAAATATTTCTAAATAATGCTGTCAAATATATGTGGAGGGAGCATAAGCATGAAATACTGTATTTGTAAAGTGAGCCCAGCCCGACACTCAGGTAGGTGCAGTACCCAAATTCAGCCAGTTGACATGACTGGGAGCCACAGGCAGGCAAGCCATTAGAAAATTTAAAAGCAGCATCCTCAGGAAGGCAGGGCAGGCATGACAAATTGGCTGGAGCATTTCATAGGGGGAATTTGCAGAGGAAGCTGTAAATGACACAGTTTAACCTGCTACCCAACAATATGACGTGGCCAGCCAAAGTGCAAAGGTGATCTTAGGTCATACAGAACATGGAAGGGGGCAGAAGTTAATAGTTCCACAGGGAAGACTATAAAGTGTATAATTTGGACATTGTATTTTAATAGGGTTACCGGTAAACTGGAGCATATTCGGAAAAGGGGTGACCAAGAAAGTAAAGATTTTTTGGGGCCGGGCACAGTGGCTCATGCAGGTAGGTCACTTGAGGTCAGGAGTTCAAGGCTGGCCTGGCCAACATGGTGAAATACTGTCTCTACTAAAAAAACAAAAAAACAAAAAAAATAGGGGGAGGTGGTGGTGCATGCCTGTAGTCCCAGCTATTCGCGAGACTGAGGCAGGAGAATGGCTTGAACTCAGGAGGTGGAGATTGCAGTGAGCTAACGCCACTGCACTCCAGCCTGGGTGACAGAGAGAGACTGTCTTAAAAAAAAAAAAAATAATAAAGAATTTTGAGTGACAGATTAAATAGAGATATTTATATTTGCCTTGGAGAAAAATTTAGAAGGCACATGTAGAAAGCGTACATTTGGAGGTAGGAACAGATGTGTTCTATGTGTCTTTAGAGACAAAACTAAGACCAGTAGATAGAAAACCTTTTAGGTCTAATGTGAGAAGGAATGTTCAAATTATTACAATGGCAAAAGATTGTTTTGCCAAATAGGAAACTGATCACCTCCAAAGTTCCTTCCAACTCTTAAAATTCTATGGGAAGCAAAAGCAGCACAGACCAATTGTGATAAACCAAAAGAGTCTCACCAAGAAGTGCTGAAGGAGACTACCAAGGGAAAGGAGAGGCAAAAGAATACGGTTTAGTCCCCAGTGCCTAATATCTTGGAAGTAGAGAATATTTTGTTTAGTTTAAGTTGAATAAATGTATGAAGCCATATAACAACAGAAAATGTTAAGAACAAAACACAGGGTTCAAAGGATTTGTGGTGTTCTCTTGGACTTTTTATCCAAAGTGCAATCCTTGGACCAGAAGCAGCCAAATGCTTGTTAGAAATGCATGCTATCAAGTCCCACCCCAGGTCTACTGAATTAAAATCTGTTTTAACAAATTCCCCAGGTGATTCATATGCACATTAAAGTTTGAAAAACACTGTGTTAGGAAAAACAATGTACATGTAAAAATGGAGTAAAAAGTGAACTCTTGGTTGGGCACAGTGGCTTATGCCTGTATTTCCAGCACTTTGGGAAGCCGAGGCAGGAGAATTGCTTGAGCTCAGGAGTTTGAGACCAGACTGGGATGCATAGTGAGACCTTGTATCTACTAAAAATGAAAAACATTAGCTGGGCATGGTAGTGTATGCCTGTAGTCCCAGCTACTTGGGAGGCCGAGGCAGGAGGATCACTTGAGCTCAGGAGTTTGAGACTGCAGTGAACTATGATTGTGCCACT